TGCTGGGGAGTTTAATCCGGTTAATGGTGCACCACCAAACCTCGCTCTTAGCTCCACCATGTTCCTATAAACGAGACAGTGTAAATAAAGTGAAATTCTAACAACTGTTATGGTTACAAAATGTTAAATAAGTAAAACACTTAAATGATCATGTAGAAACAATTAAAAGTAAACCAAATGACCATAACAGAAGTAATCAATGTCCTAAAGGAAGATAGAGCAACAAGAAAATCACCTACAAGAGCCCGGCGAAGCAAGGCAGAAGACGAACATTAAAACAATTCAGTCCCAAAGGGCTTTAAGAACTATCCATCATAGCGTCTCCCACTTTGTCCGTCAGAATAATCAAAAGAGGAAAGCGTAGTGACCAACTGAAAAAGGGTTGACCACTAAACATGCAGTATGTTTTAAAATGGTAGGGTCAAAATGTCTTTTAATAAAACGTTTAATGATTTTAGTAAAAACTGCAGAAAAATAACCATGATCCAAACTCTTAAGAAGTTTGTAAATTACATCGCCTTAAAAAACCAGACTGGCTAATTTCTAGTCGCAGAAGAGTTTTTAAATCACTTTTGAATTTAGACATTTAATCAAAGTTACGATTGTAAAATTTAGTAAAATATTCCGTAATTATTTATGATAGCGGTAACCCCTTTTTTTAGAAGCTTGCTGGTAAGAAAAATATTCCGCTTGTTGAAATCCTTTACGTTGCTACAACCTCAAGCGAATCTTATTAATTGAGAAACATAAACCCCGTGAGATGTTGCATGGGGTTCGTTTCCATCTAAATGTGGATAATTAACTGTACAAAAGTCAAAGTCATCTCTTTTATCATAGATTTTCGTGTGAATAGAATTGTCGTCGATAGTTATATGAAGATCCAAAAATGATGTACTAAAATCTCAACAGTTCATTTTATTAAGTTGTAGTTCATGCGGATAAATGTCAGACACCATTTGATCAAAATAAGAATTATCTAAATTAAAAATTAAAATTTATCAAAAATACTCTGCACCATCCTTAATAGAGCTTGTGAAGTGCTGTGATATTTCCTAAAACCTTTTCGTTCTTCGTCAATTATGTTTATGTGTTCAGAGTATGCATTTAATCTGGAATATACTATTTTCTTCATACATTTCCCGAGGACACCTCAACTTATAGACATGTAGGATACTTATAATAAGCTCCTTTTCCATGATTTTTTTAAAACCTGACTGTTGCCGTTTTCCAGATTTTGGGAAGAATACTGATAAGTATCCCAGGAGAGTTGAAAATATTATCATGGCTTCAAGAAGTGAACCTGTATATATTTTATCTGGTCCAGATGCTTTATTGCTTTATGTTCCTTTAAATGCTATGTAGCTGCTTCTATCTTTTGAATTGTAATATATATACTAAGGAAACTTTGACTTCTTCTGTATCATGTTTACTTTGTCTGATTTTACAAATAGCTTCATGAAATCTTTATCACAGGTGACATTTTGTAAATGTTTATCACTGAAAAAGGTCTCTTCTGGCATTTTTGCCTTTTCTTTTTTTTCACAAATCACATTAACCAGAGGGAGTGTAGTATCTAAATCATCTACTTGATAGGTTGGTAAACTCTGAAAGTACCTCTGTTTCTAATTTGGAGCATTACATACATTTATGTTTTTATACAGCATATCAGCTTTTTTAATTTCCTTTTCATATTTTTCCTCACAGTCTTTCAATTTTAACAAATTTCTAGGAATTTGTCTTTCTTTGAAGTAAATCTAATTTCAGTATTTGGAACACCTCATCACAAACTCATACACAGCGGCTCTCCTTTGCTTTGCTGCAGAGACAAACGCCTACACTGTGGCCTAATAACGGACAGTCTATGTTTAATGAGGGTCCATCCGCCCGGTAAGGCACAAAAAGCAGCTTTCACTGTCGAATGTGGACCCCGGACATGTCAACAATTATGCCCTTAAAGAGTTAATTTTGGAGCAAAAAGTGATGATAATTTGCGTCCATGCAATTACAACGGGGTACTAGTATTAGCCAAAGGTACGAATTTTGAGCCAAAAGTAGGTCACTGTACGGCGGTCATTGAAAATCTAGATATACAGTAACCTGAGACAATAATGAAAGGAAGTAGCCCTTAAAAGGGCTGTTTGTGCAAAGCCAGAGGCCTGCCTTAAAAGCTGTCTATCGCACTCTAGCACACCATCGTACGTCTTCGTCTCGGCCTACATCATCATAGGACCAATCCCCTCGGGTCTCAGCCTACATCATTACAGCCTATGTCAGGACATCTGCAACTCGACGAAATAGCAGTCCCCATAAATGGTAGGATAATTAAAAAAATCTGGAAACAAAGAGATCCCTCGGAAGCATTAATCACAATAGTATTACATTAGAATTTCAGACTTGGTTTGATTGAGTCTGTGCATGAGGGATAATGAATAAGTGCAACATACCTCACGCCCCTAGCACCGGCTTGAGCAGTGCTCAATTCTCAATACTTAATAGTACTTCCCCCAAGCCGCAAATCTTCTGCCGACGCCCTATGTCTTATGCACCGATGGGAATCGAGAAGCGGACAGTTATGAGAGACAATTGTCTTACATACACCATTTGTTAAACCACATACAGCACTAAATGTTATAAAAATCGCACAAGTTTGTACTCGATAACTTCATTTCGAATACATATTTATTTGTTGAAATTATATGCAATATATATTCATATTGAAAAGTTTTTATTTTGGTAAAAAGATTTGGCTATATACTAAGTTCCATTTTATAGCATTATTTACCCATTCATTTTTAGATTTAATTTAACATTTATTTGCTTCGTATATAGCAATTTATTTGGTGGTATACTTCCTTTGATCTCTTTAAGAAAGGTCTTTAAGAATTTTAGAAATGCATTATTTTCTTGATTTAATAATTCTTTAAAATGCTCAAAGGAATAAAAGTCTTTCATTCATCATGCCTAATTGACGTCGATCGGCGGTGTAAACTTGCGAGGTGTGGTGAAATTAAGCGAAGCACAAAAAAAGCGCCCAAACAGTCATAAACCACAATTGAATATTGGAAAACCAGGCAAATTCATTAAATCTACATAGTCTCGGATAACACAATTCCACGCGGACCTAGACCCAAGGAATTTTTTCAAGAGCTAAAAGATGCCTCGAGGGGTAGCTTGCTGATTTGACATCTCAACATTCAAAACAGTCATAAGTATTTTTCTTTTACGGCTTTTTGTAATTAAAATCTATCTTCTTTATTTTTGTTTGCGGTCCTCAAGGGCTCTTTGCCGCTTGTTCTTGTTGCTGGATCGTTTGGGGTTTGTTTTCATTGAACGCCGCTTGTCCTTGTTGATCTTGTTATCATATTTTAGTTAGAGCCGATATTATCCCTTAAAGTGCGTCCACGCTTTCATAGTTTTTCAGAATTTTGTTGAATGAAATGTCAAATCATCTAAACTACTCTCCTAGAGCAAATCTAAACTAGAACACTCTTGATAAGATGGTCAATAACTTTGAACACCTTTTTCTTTCAAATTTTTAACATAATGGTATCATCAGCAAGCCAACGGTGAACATTAAAATTATCAGCTTTCACCATGATCCCTGGTTTGCGAGGCAGACATTTTAACCACTAGGCCACTGCTCCCCTTCTTTTCATGTAAATCAAAGACAAGTTCATAATCTCAAATGCTCATCTCCTTCACCCTAAAGCATTAAATCAAAAGTATTGTAATCAAAGATCCTAAAGAATATGAAAAAATGTCACGAGGCCCCTGCTCCCCTTCTTTTCATGTAAATCAAAGACAAGTTCATAATCTCAAATGCTCCTCTCCTTCACCCTAAAGCATTAAATCAAAAGTATTGTAATCAAGGATCCTAAAGAATATGAAAACATGTCACGAGGCAATGTCCTTAGAAAATATTTGATTCAAGGATCGGCAAGATTTAGAGTAGTGTAAAATGTTCACAAGTTTGCTTCTTTATCAAGAAGCATGCGAGAGGTCTTTTTTTGCAGATACGCAAAAATGGATGCCGCCAGCAGTCAGTCTGAACACTGAGGAGAAAAGAACAGGCCATAAGGCAATGTAAAAAAATACAGGTGTCATACGGTACATGTACGACCTGCTATATTTAGAACAGGTCACCTGGCATATCTAAAAATGAGTGTAAACTTTAGCTTTGTACTGAAGAATGATGTCATTTCTACATGCGTCCTACTTACGTTTGCAGCTGCGTGGATCAAGTTTAGTAAAATATATTCGAAAATTATCCCGAGTGTTACATAATTTGAAATATGAATATAAAGTATATATACTATTCATAAGCTATATTTATGTTATCCACGTTTTATGCCAATACTGTATACTGACAATTTATATTTAGATAAGAAATAATTTGTATTATATTGGACTGAGATTACATCTTTTTCCAAGATTTAAAATGACAACAAAAGGTGTCAAGTGCTGTTAGGAGGAATGTAAAATGTCGTAATTTACCAAAGTGGTGTTATATTATGTTGGTCGGTGCTAGTGGGCGTGAGAGATGTTGCACTTTCCACTAACTCTCATGAACAGAAACTAAGTAAAACTAAGTTTGAATATCTCAACCTTTTGTCTTTGTTTTTATATAAGCTCTTTGGGAAGTTCTTTTATTAGGAAGTTTAACCACACTACGGCTTAATCAAGCGACATCCCTGAATTATTATTAGTTAAAAAATTAAGCTTGGAAACTATATAATTATTAAAAAATGTTTATCATTTCTGTTTTGTCGCTTGCGTAAGATTATTCTATATGGTCACTGCCTTATAATTGGTGGCATCAATATTAATAAGTCATATTAAACTGTGTTCCTAATAAAGTTGAGGGTTATAAAACAGTCTCCTCATTATGTTCATAAGGTCACAATATAGGCACGAAAGTGACATCCTCATGTTAAAGGTTGTCGAATTTAGACTCTTATCTTATCTTTCCCTTAAAGTATTTCACAATTACACAGGCTAATTTAGTTCTATAATTCACATAGATTGAAAAAGACGGGAGTAAAATATGGGTCCGTTTTTCACCGCGATTTTAACTTTAGCATTTTTTAGACAGGCAAATGCTTTTATTGACAAAAATGTTTACCAATGTTTGGTAGATTACAATCTTACATCAGTTGCTGGACTTATTCGTGATGCAAAACTTGAGTCAACGCTTACAAGCTCAACTGGAGGTATGTTTGGTTTAAACTCAATCAAACCGAGTCTGCAATTCTATTGTAATTTTATTGTGATTAATGCTTCCCCGAGGGATCGCTTTGTTTCCAGATTTTTATTAAAGATTATTATTCTTTTAGTGAAGAAGTCAAATAATACGCGGCAGTAGTTATCGGTTAAATACAAACCGCGACATTTCCGACCAAGAAGCCTACAATTAAACCGTTATTCAATGCTAACAATTATATGTTATAAAGGATACATGTGACCTTCGAATATCTTTAATTTAATTCATGAACAATGTACATTTGTCTTATGTATATTTCCATTCTTTATCATCAGGACCGTTCACGATTATGGCGCCTACAAACGCTGCAGTTGCAGCTATCGATCCTGACACGATGGCTTCAGTGATAAAAAGTTCTGTCCTTCTTCAACAGATTGTGAAATATCACATCATAAACAAGTATGAAGTTATCCCAGCTCTTATCAGTGCGGGCTCTGTTGAAACTATGGAAGGACAATCGATCACAGTCACTAGTCAACCTTCCGTGAGTTTTTTTATTACTGTATTGGATATTTTTATGGCCATATGGCTTAAATCAAAGGAATTCTACATAGGTCTAAAAACCTAAAGCATAAAATTTGAATATGTCTTAAGTGAAATTATATATATGTGTATATAAAACAATTTTCCAAACATCGAAGAATATGTACGGCAAATATTTGTACATATTTTTGTAATCATTAAAATATAAATGCATTCATTTCTTATTGAAAAAATTGACTTAGACTTTATATAAAATTAATCTTTTTATTACCTCCTTTTATTTACATGAAATGTTAAATTCGGTAATATCTTTATAAATCATGCATTTTGTAACTTACAAAATTGATAAATCTTAATTTGAGCATCATATTAATGATATAAAACCATAAAAGATTGTGTTACAGGATCTTTAATGGATTGCTATTCTAAGCCCGTTTGTTGATTTTGGTATTTTTTAACAATGGGGCTTATTCAGTTGGAAAAACAGAGGGATCAAATGATCTCAGTGGAATCGTTTATATATATTATTGTAATTTAGAACAGTGTTTTGAATAGATGTTGCTGAATACATTTATAACTTTACTGTAAAATTGTTCACACATGGTCGTTATGCTCTATAAGCATCCACAATAGATTAGTCAGATATGATTGTTTATTAGTGCACCCGAAGAATTAGCTATAACATTGGAGCTGATCTATAATTCATATTAGGGAATCGCTGTACAGAATAATTTTAAATGACGAATGTTTGGGGGAATTATATGTTATTAAAAGTAACTTACACTATAAGATGACATTTGGGTTCTTTGCAGGCAACGTTATAAATAGAGCAGCGCATTGCCTTTACTTTAACTCAGTACTGTTTTTCAGGGCATCCGTTTAAACAATGCATCTACTGTTTTAAAAGACAACGGTGACATCATATGTAACAATGGCATTATACACGTCATAGATACAGTACTTATTCCACCTGTATTCAGCACTCATAATTTGGCTGCAGTCCTCCTAGAGAGGGATGATATCTTTAGAGAGTTCTTCTTGTATGCTTTGCTATCAAATTTTACTCATCTTATTGAAAGTAAGTTTATTTTCTCTTGATGCTTTATGACAATTTGTTTCCGAGTTTTGAATGGACATACACCCAACATAAAGTCATCGTTTGGCAGATAAATATTCCGTATATGACTTTTCCAATGTCGACTTTACGTATATTCACGATATTTAACGTAACGTAATCGCCATAAAGTGGTGCCAGTGTCTGGTCTATTTCTTCTGCTGCATGTATAAACTTTTCTGCATGCATGTTTGGACATTTCACCATTAATGGGTACATATGACCTCCATGACTAGACCATGGGTTAGAATGAAAGACTCCTGCTGTTATGTGAAAAGTCAAGGTCAAAGCACAAGACTGAACTTATTGTATTTCTAAAACATTTCTAAGTACAGGTTTGCTGCTTTGTGTTTGATCTTATACTATAACAGTTGTAACTAGCTACTCAAATGACATTTTTCATATATTTAGAAGATTGGATTGAAGTTCTGTCCGTCCCTAGTTGAAAAATCTTTGCTACTTATATGCTTACGTATAAACAGCACAACAAGGTAAAACTTATAGTTGCAAACTTAGAGCATATGTTACGGGGTCCTCTTTGTACTATGAACGCCATTTTTTTTACATGTAATGACTGTTTTCATTTTAGATGGAGAATACACTTTATTTGCACCAACAGACCTTGCCTTTGGAAGATATTCTCATTTAAATGACATACACAGAGATACACCAAATGCCGGAAAAATATATCTAGGTAAATATATTAATATTTGTTATTTCATACACCATTAGTTAATACAGATTTCATTTTTGTTCGATTGTGGTGTAGGAAGCTATACGCTTATTTATCATACTCTCGAATCCGTTCCTGGAACCAAGCAATATATGTAGTTTCTTGCTCAAGGAAACAACGGCTTGCCCCTGACAGGGTTTCAACCCACGCAGCTAGCGATCCTTAGATTACTAGTCACTACAAATTTAGCATAATAGAATATTGAAACAGACAGTATTTAATATACATTTAGAAGTGATATTTTCTTTGCTATAACTAGTATTTATGAGGGACAAAATGTGCAGTTTGTTTCAATGTGATTGCGTCTATTTTGTGTCGCACACATAGTAAAGAATTTGAAGATGGAAGAACCTCAAAGAACGCTGTTATATGTAATACAAATTTAATTTTTTAATTGCAGAGATTTTGAAGTATCATATCGTTCCTGGTGCAAGAATGAGTAACATGCTATCTGACGGACAAATACTGTACACATTACACGGATCCCCTATTACTATACATTTAAACAATGGTAATTATATTATTCTACTTTTATGTTCCAAACGGAATTAAGAAATATTTGACCATGTTTTATACAAATAGTTTCGCTGTTGCCACTAAGTTGCATTTGATATAAATATCATAGCTGAAATGAGCATTGTTCAGCAATGTTTAATAGAAAAATCAAGCTTTGCTATTGGCAGTAAATAGAAATATTTTATATAAATTTCGTCGCTAACGACACTTGGCATTGTTTGGCAATTCCTCAATGTGAAATACTGTAAAGCTTACACTATGAACTTAAAAACTTTGCGTGTCGGTAAGGCAAGAATGACATTTTACCAAGTTATCATAAACACGTTTACCCAACGGTACCTTCATGTAAAGACTCGCATGTTCTCAAGCACGCAATTATTGTTTTATTTCAGGCGGTGTCAAGGTAGATGATGCTAACGTGGTTGAGGCAAATATTCCGGGCAGCAATGGTGTTATTCATGCTATTGACCATGTTCTCTTCCCAGCAGATCTTCTTCCAAATCTGCAAGGATAATGCTTTTAATACATTTCATAAAACCTTATAACTTTGTTATTGTTTTTTTCCTTCTATTATCAATATTTATCATGAAAGGAAATGATTCCTACAGAGATGATGTGGTCTACTTGTTAAAGGTTTGCTTTTCAACAAAGTGACCGTGGGTTAAGTCCTACTCTGGCCATGGACTGTTCCTTTTATGACACACAAGAAATGGTTAGTTCTGGAAGCAGACTTCATGAATGGTTAATACATCTGTATAAGTCACAAGAACTTGTTTCACTATACAGCTGAAAAAAAAACAAACAAACAACAACAAAAAAAAAAACGTTAAAAAAAACACAAAAAAACCCCACAAAAAAACACGAAAAAAAAACAACAAAAAAAAAAAAAAAAAAAAAAACACGTTTTGTTAAACAAGTAGAAACCCCCAATAATAACGCGACCAATTTGCTAATGTGATTTCTTGCACGAAATCGCCAAATATACAGTCTATACTAATTTGCATTTTCGCAACATCTGCGAGAACATATTTGGTTGTTGCGTAATACAAAAATGTCTGTGACTTCGACGCTCTTGGTGAACGGGTGACATTCCCTAATCAAACAAGAATGTTTGAAATAAAGGAATTGTTTTGATAACATTTACCTATGTACATTTTTACTTCGTTTGTTATGAGATACTAACGTATAAACATACAATACAGCATGCCTGTGAATCCAAAAGTAAATAGATAAAAAAGAGATGACCCATTAAGAACAATATAATATTATAGTCCTTTTAGATTTTTCGTGTGTCGAATTCATTTGAATAAACGTAAATTAGAGTGCGTCTCTGTTCGTGTTTGTTTTCAATTGTATAGCGTAATTTAATGACTCTTCGGATACGAATATAAGAATATTTAGGTTAATATAAAATTTTTTATAAGTTCTGTCTCAAATCTCAGGCTTTTTATTGGTCAGGCAGTTTCTGACCATTTAGATACCTGATATCTGAGTTGAGCATAGCTATTTTTTTATAATATCGGGCATTGTAATTGAAACGTGTATAACTTTGTTACACAGTAAAGGTCATATGGCGCCGAAACATGAAAGAGGATTTCCACTAACTTCCGGTGTTACAAACTTCAAAGCAACACCAGGGGTCACAACCACCTCATATGCTGGAGCTAAGAGATATTTGAACCAAGGTAGTCCCCCAGGGTTAAACGGTGATTGCAATTCTTATTCCTTACCACTCAGCCACAAGGGGATAAAAGTATAAAGAAATAATTATAGATCTATGTTATACATTGTTTATATCATTTCTGTAAAATTTAAAGAAAATGCTTTCCCTCTTTGGAATAAATGGATATACATGTTGCATGTACCAAATTTGATTATCCTCGTCAAATAAGGACAATATTTCCCAATGTTTCTTTCATCCGATCAAATTTTTAATCAATATATCGAGATATGATATTATGTATATAACAGCTTTTTTGTTCTCTGACAAAAGACTTTAACTCTAGCACACTACCAATTTCGTTGAAACAAGTTTATGGTTGTTTGCGTCACTAAAAAAAATGTTAAACTTTCATCTCCCTGACTTTAGTTGTACTTATTTGAACTGATAGAGTTTAAAATTAAATTATCTTAGTTACGAAATATTTTCAGGTCAAAAACTAATACAAGTTGCCCATACTCTAATTCTTTGTTGTTCTTTTAAAATATGTTAGATAAATGAGTCCCTAATTAAATGCAAGTCAGAACGTTAAAACGGTATTAAAGACCATATAAACTGTATAATGTATATATATGATTTTAAGCATAAAACGCAAAACAATTGTTCATAAGGGATATTCAAATGAAAGAACAGTTCAGTATTTTGAATGTTTACATTTTTTAACAAAATAATATTGGAATGAAAGAAAAAAGTTCTACTTACCCAAAACCTTTTTCAAGTAAAGAATGGTACAGAATCAAGTTTAATTATATAATCATGTTTTTACCATCGCTCGAAGTATAGCGGATTCAGGTCCAAAAGTGTAAAACAATAAAATCTGAATTTCTTACAAAGATCAGTTTGGGCACTTATATCAGAAAGATAGCAAAAGATAATTTAGAAATGATCTAATAATTTGCACATAGGTTATTGGTCTAGACCTACAGTCAATGAAATATTAATCTCGAAAAATTATTTTCAATCCTGTTATAAATTTCAGTGAAGTTCTTTTAAGCAAGATTACCATACATGAAATGAGCCGGATGCGCAGGCTGGTCTGGATCCATGCTGGTCGCAAACGCATAATGTTGGTTTTGTCGTGACACGGCTCAAATGTCTTTATTCAGCATGATACAATGCAAATGAATGTAACGTTTCGTAACATATACTGTTATTCCATTTGCCTCTCATCGCTAAGGGTTCCAGTCCAGCAAATTTGTTAGATTCTTTTATGTAAGGAAGCTATCAAGCTAGCTTTTGGAACGTCAATAATTATTTTTACTACTTGTGTCTGAAAAAATTCACTAAGCTGCACCTGAGGTCTTCGTACACCAGTAAAGTTTAAACGTCACCTCCCCATATGACCTTTAATATGTGTGTTCGTGACTTCAAGGCACTCTATACATCAGACACAAATAGTTTGTTCCTTCTTTACAAAGGGCAAACATGAGTATTATAACATTTAGAATAATGGTGTTAGAGCATAGTATATTCTAATTATCAAAAGAAAATTAGTTCTACTCTTTATGTAAAGTTATTTGTCATAAAGGCAGGAAAATGGAAGTGGTATTTTCAATTTTATACAAAACACTGAATCACTCACTATAAGTGTACTCATTGCCAAACAGCAACATATGCAAAAGATTGCTCAGATAAATGACCAATGGGAATCTTCTTGGAAACTTTAACAGGACAGCAAAAAATAAAGAGCTTTTTGAAAAAAATAAATAAAAGCATTTCTTGAGCATAACGGGCCTTTTAAACAAAACGAAAATAAAAATGAAATTCCAACAAAAAAAACGTATGCATTTTTGCTAAAATTTATTAATATAACCACATTCGTCAACAACAACCATATTGCAGTAACAACATATCTATCGTGGCAAATAAAAGAAATATCAATTCTAACCAATAATTGGATTTAAAATCATAGGCATGAGGACATGATCAATGATGTGAACTACGCCATTTTCAGCTTCTATATCAGTCAGGGTCACGTGTGCCATGTTGTTGAGTGTGATATCTCCAGCTGAAATAAAGCCAACAAAGTGATTTATATATACTTTTAAAATGCTTCAAAGCTTCATACCTCAAGATGAGTCCAAAATAGTTTAAGAAAACTGAACCTGAGAAAAATTTACAAAGATTTTAAGAAAAACACAAAATGTATTAAGATTTAAATTATGATTTACATATGTGCGATTAATGACCGATTTTGCAGTATTTATCGCCATATTTCTAGAGCTATTTTTGCATATTTTGAACTCTTTTTGTTGATTTACGTGGATTGTAAGTGTCGTTTGCAATGTTTAAATTACTATCCTTGTTCGCTTCACAATACCTTACATTTAAGGTATGATACACATTTTCAAAACTTCATGAAATACTCTGATTTACAATTTAGCATTGTCTACCTAAAACTGCATTCTAACTAATGAAACTATGAAATCAAATCGAAATGAAAGGATTATTCTAATTTCTAAGTTTATAACAACAACTATTCTTTAATATCGGATATAAAGCAACATAGAAATTAGATGAAATTTGTCCACATGCATACGAATAAAACTAAAGCAATAATCATGCCCTGAATTTTATCCTATTCATAATATTATATAATGTTACTGAAATTATTATTTTTCTGAAATTATTATTAAGACAAAAGAAGAAAGAAATCCGGTTTACATGAACTCGTGGTGACGGAGATGTTATGTGCAGGTAGCGTTGTTCTGACAAAATGGTGTTTCGCAAGAGTACGTGCATGCATCGTTCCAGAGTGTACATGATATTCTATGAGCACTTAAAAATATCAAAATATGTCGACCTGTTGACTTTTATGACAAAAAAAAACAAACAACAGCAACAACAACAAAAACAAAAGACAAATTCCGAAACTTAATAATAGCATACGCGAACGAATAAGTAAGACCCATTACTTACTATTCCAACTAGCTGAATATGATAGATTGAAAACAAAGAGCTAAGTGCCCAAATGTTGAATTTGAAAATACTAATTAATTGATAAATACTATATTTTTTAAATGTAAAATAAACATCTTTTGAACACACACAAAAGAGATATGTTAAGTTTTAAATTCTATAACACACTATAGGTAAAAATGCAGTCTAAACAAATAGTGTCAATTAATTGCTTTTAAGAAAGGACCACAATAACAGGACAAGTAATAGGTAATGCAGTTTCCCGGGCATAATGTGTGCATTCTCTTAATCATATAAGAAATATTCAGTGAGAATTTTCTAGATGTAAAAAAAAATCTGCAATAAAATATTTTACTAATGATGAGCATATTATATCTGTAAGCTATTCGAAGTCAATAAAATAACAAAATGCATGCATTTACTAACGAGTAGTACAATAAAAAAATGAAACGTTGATTCCTTAATCGTTTATTTAAATTTATCTAGAACTATGTGTTTCACAAAAAATATATATTTAGCGTTTGTCGTAAGTTACAGGTAAATAGGTAGGTAGGTAATTATTTGAGCAAGTTCAATATAACTAAAAAAGTATAAAAATAAATAATGTTATATGAAAACTATACTTCTGAGATTAGTGATGTCTTGTGACAGACTTTGAATAGTAGCAGCTGGTACTGCGTCAATAGCTGCGTCACTTGGTGCAAACACTGTATATCTGTTTATTCCAGCTGAAAAATGTCACTAAATAAATAATAAAACTACACAGCGGATGAGCAAAAATAGGTAGTTAAAAAGCCTTTATTATATTATTTACTATAAAATGCTGCAATATAAAGCAATCGTTTTTTCTGTACTGTTAGTGCATGCTAGACTTGTTTTTCATTACTGTAAATCACTTATATTCGCGTGCTCTCTATTTCTCGAAAATCATATTCTTTGCATATAATGTTGCATTATGTATGTTAAATAATAAATGTACGTGGCATCATGAATTCACGACGCAATCGATTCGCGAAAAATAGCGAAATTAATACATCGCGAATAATACCGGATTTATAATACGTTAACCTTTTAACTAAATCATTTAGTGCTCGAGTTTTTACTTTGTAAAATGGCTACATTCCTACGAATTCATTATGTTTCAAAACAATTCTTTTCTAAAGATGCATTACTTTAAAAAGGATAGGATCATATATTTTACATTATAAATGTAAACAACAGTACTTACTTGGCATAGCATAGTTGACGTCTAACTTTGCCTTATGTACCAATGCTAAAAACTTGGAAATGTTGTAGGCCTTGTTTCCTAATATATCAATCACTGTTCCTTCCGGTACGTCCAGTACTAAAAATAGATTTCTAAAATTTATATATATGGTGCAAGTCAAATGTAGATATCTTCTTCTAGTAAGGATTCATATGGTATTTTTTCGGTTACGACTTTGTGCTTGTACATGTGTTAAATAATCAATTTAAATCCTGACTGGACGAAGATGACGACATGATCGGGTCAAGGCCGAATATCGTTAGACATCGTCTGCAAGACATAAACGACAGATTCGAGGAAAAATGTTGCTGTTGCCGAAGTCAATATATTCTCATACATAATATTCTTCATAGTTTGGGCTTTGCCCGTGTGCCCTGTCTTGTTTTTGTGTCCTGCTAGGCTGCTTGATGGTGGCTGGGTCGTTGTTAATCTCGTGTTGATAATTTACCCGAAATATCATAGCAAACACTATCATAGACTTTGATAACTAACAATACTTGTTGGGTTTGTTGTAGACTCTACATATTAAATAATAATAGTTTTAACACAATAACAAATATGTTAATTAATAATGCAGTATCGAGCTGTTTTATTTACCTGTATTGATGAGGTATATTACACCGTTCGATGCGGTTATGTTTGACTTTACAGCAGTTGCTTGATTAAAATGTGTACCACTCTGAAAAATAATAATACGTGCTGTCAGCTTTAAATCTAATTCGTACCGATTTATTATAATTATACTATTTCATAGTATACAGTCTTCGTTCTATCAAGATAAGAATTATTTATTTCGTAAGTCCATTTTTAGTTCAAAGTTAAACTTGTGATGAATACATGCAAAGACAACCAACGACAAGAAAAAAGAACACATAAGATTTACCGCAGATCTGTAGACTCTAATCACGTGACCGTTCGTACTGTTGTAGAAATGGTGTCTTCCGAACAGAAACTCCTTTTGATAATGAACGCCATTGATCATGTGATACTTGATGACGTCAGTAAGTTTTTGTTGGTTGTTTGTGACGGCGGCTAGATCAGCATCAGGCAATTTTGAAAAGGCATGGTTGGTCGGTACAAGAAGAGTAAAGCTTCCTAAATACAATAATATCGTATATCATACTGTTTATCAATGTAGCAATATCCGATTTATACCGAAAAAATGGGAGCGACCACTAAGTGGCTGTGACCTGCGTCTGCTTGTCAACCTTGTCACACCCTAATCATGTTCATCGTGGGTTCGAGTCTTACTCGGGCCATAGCTGTCCCTTTTCAGTGATACCAGAACTGGTCTGGTTAGTTATGGGCAGCGGAGTCGAGAGTCTTTCATTTCACAATGCTGCTTTTAAAAATAATGCTTAAAATAAGAAGTGGTGAGTTGGCACAAATTAAATACGCAACTATAAGCAGACTGATGTATTATTTTACCCATTTATTAAATGATAACATGTATTCATTTAATTTCGCATATATACAGTTGTCAAAAAATAATATTAGTATACAGTAGTGTTTTTCCATGTACACATAGCATAGCAATATACATATTCGTCGTCTGTATCAAATTAGAAAGATATATTCACTCTAAGTCTTATTAAATCATTATTTAGACTGCTACCTGTACTAAAAAATACATAATCAGTACATAAAAATTCCCCAGTAGTTCTCACTTTGACAATGAATAGATATATGAAAGACCGCACGCCTCAACATATTTTTTTTTCAGTATGGCCTTTTCAATATTATAAAAATATTTCTTTCTTCCGCGTTTTAAGAAAACATATGTTTATAAATGTTATTCTTATTTTTCAATATAGCAAAGTTAATAATTGTCTTACCGCCGGTTTTCAATACCGAGGACAGGCCCGCTTTATCAACCAAACTTAACAGTGTGGTTGCATTTAATGCCGTCAGTTGTTCATACAAATTTAAACCTGTACATACCGTCACGAGACTTAGAAGAAAAATAAACGAGAACCGTTCCATTGCCAATTTTAAATTAGAAACAATGACTGAATTTCTAACACAAATATCACTTTATAATGAACAGAAACATTGATTAAATAATGACTTAATACTTGAGAAAAGACAGACGGTGTGATAACAGGAATAGACCTTCAACTAAAGGTTGTTAAACTGCTAGATAAAGTTCAGAAAGTAAACGGTTAAAGACATTCATATGCCGTATGCTGAAATTGACCCTGAATTAAAAAAGGAAAAACTGAGGGAGGGTTGAAGAACTTTGGGGCCCAACGCTTTTGTTATTTATCGTTACGAAAACTTATTGTTTTTGTAAGTATTCACACGCACGCACACGCACGCACACGCACGCACGCCTGCACACACTCACACATGTCAAGAGGATCAAATCTTATTCAGTTTCAAATAGGGTGATATGGCTTGTTAATCTCACTATAATTAGCATAAGATTGTTATAGTCAATAGTATACGCATTTAGTTATAAATTTTGTCCCTTGAACAAAGGTCCATTATGCACTATAGAATGCTCTCAAATTATTTCATCTCTTTTTGGTGGTAGTCTTTTTGCTACATGAGTTGTTGTAACTGTTGTACTGTTTTGTTTTGTTTATTTCTGATTTAGTTTTTTTTAACGTTTTCTACAATATGTATTAGCTGCATATCCGTTTATATATCCGTGTTTTCCTTGTACCTTTCGCTTAATACGTTAGGGTTAAAATGTCATAAAATACATTTATCATTTGAAATAATTTGATTTCACATTTTATAATCAAAAATACGATTTGCTGTCATATGTTTGATATCGGGATTGGATATTTTCAATTAAAGTAGATTGTAAAATTTTCATGCGTATTTGTTAGGTCAAATATTTAAAGTTTAAACTCTAATATTTCATGCTTTCCAGTGTTTTACTGTAATATATCAGATGATTATATTCTGATAAACCACTAGTGAAATTTATAAGATATAATTTTCACTGTAGCCGGACAGTATCTGAATGCGGATGGAAAGAATATCATAACTTTATGGAATAACTGGAAAAAATAAATGCCGTCATACGTTCATTTTGCTTCTTTAAGGAAAGACAGTAGATTTCATTACGCTTTGTGTTTAAAATGTAACAAAATTAGAGTTTAAGTATATAGGTTAAAGTTTATTAGTACGTATTTATTACAAAAATAAATTGGTCAGGCGCGGCGGCCACTTCGTCACAACATTTTTTATTGACACCCCGAAACACAAAAATCATGTCTGTCAATATCGGCGACGTCTGATCTTTTACCGCCTTATGCAAAGTAGAATCTCACTACGCTGGCACTTAATTCGTGAAGGTCAAGGATTATGTCATATGTTTATAGTTATGATGTTTATAAGGACATTGAAATTAGCATTCACGACGAAGGATTGTGTTTACTGCTTTAACAAAATCTACGGACGAGTAATTTGTTAATAAAGTTAGGTACCTGTCCGGCATTACCTTGTTTAAATGTTGCTCTTTTGCTTTAATTATTAAATGGAATATAAGCCTGGATGTAACACCTTTTCTCATTTTTTTTTTCAAAATCTCATAGCAGCTTTTCGGCCCTTTTTATTGTGAATATAATTCGGTTCCAGTAAGTAATGTAATTTTATAAAAATTGAACTTCCCAACCTTTTCCATGTCGTCTGAAAATATATTGTTCAAAGTAATGATTTACCTGAAATGGGGTCTCAGTTATTGCACATGGGCATTGAAGCTAGAATTCCCCAGGTGTTGTTTATTTTTAAGTGTCACAAGTTCTCTATGGAAACTTTAAAGTGACATAATGCTCATATTTTCAAAGTCAAGTTAAGCCTGGATGCCACAGTTTTCTCATTTTTATTCAAACAACGTTATATATAACTATAGTTTATCTTATTTTTCTCACAGATTTATAATACAGAATTTTACCTCCCTGTTGCTTTTTGGTTGATATTCATTTTTGACATTGGGTATTTTTGACCTTTTACAATAGTTTTAACTCTAGAAGAAATGGATATCGTTATACAGTTAAAATAAAGATAAATTGCATAGAATTACTAGATGTATTTTTTCCAGTTCCTTTCGTTTGCTGCCATTATTTAAGTATCTGAAATTTAAGTTTATCTGATATCATATAATTACCATCATCAGATACTCACGGTTGATAACATAAATGTTAATGGTTCCGTCGTGGTAATCAGACGATGCATAATTACTTGCACCATTTGAATGAATTTTGTACCTAAATTAATATCAAAAATTAATATCAACCAACAAGCAACAGGGAGTTAAAATTCTGTATTATAAATCTGTGAGAAAAATAAGATAAACTATAGATATCAGGGCTGGGAATCAAAACTGCGTCGTATCCTACAAAATGTAAACAAACGCCGCCATCTTGGAACGAAAAACGTATGTTTTTGTTTATAACTCTTTTTGTTGGAAATGACTGAAAACCAGATATATGTATTAACACGCTACACTGTTTTCCGCTTCGTTCGGTATATGCTGCTTGCACAACTATTTTGTAAAACAAAAGTTATAGCGAACTTGCAACTCGAAGCGGGGCAGAATTTTTATGAAAATGTGTGGATACGACGCAGTTCATATTGCTTTATCTATCGTTTTTTCCTTAAAATCAATTATATATTTGTTTCAGAGTTCACCATAATCTTCGAAATATAATTTTGCATCATTTACTAAAATTTCATTAAAGAGAGATGTTTATTTTCAAAGAAAATAATGATTTTTAAGAAATGATACGACGCAGTTGAAAATAAAATATGATACGACGCAGTTGTATTATCATTGCAGGCTGCATATTGGTTAAACTATTCAAATTATGTACTAGGTATGCTAATAACGTCCAAAAATATTTCTTGTTTACAACTTAAGTCAAAACCAGAGGTCACTCATTGGTTCCATAAAAATGGAAATGTACGTAATACAATTCTATTAAGGCTGCATTTTTCGGTCGCATTTTAGTACCTATCATAAGCATCTACAGATTCCGAAAAGCTGTATCAAATGCAATATACATTGAAACACGTGATCGCACACCCATATGACTACTTGTTCCAGTGTTGCCTTAGCATGATTCTAAAACTGTTCCCGTGAGTTTGAAATGGGAGAGATTACTATTTTTGATACAAAATTCAATATTCCAGTGTAACCTCTCCTGGACCCTGTAGTTATCAGGAATGACCTTTTTTAAAAAAAAGAGAAAGAATTACAAATTTTGAAAGGTCTCTTGCTATCGGAAGATAGCTCCTTTGTTACTTGTAATTAGCAATAATTTCCATCAATTCCGTTATAACTTATGTCTTTTACGTGCCGATTTTATTGTATTCATTTTCTTAATTATCGGTGAGAACAGATGAGCTTGACTATTTGAAATTGAACATTAAATTATTAAAATTATATTATAAATGGTTAAGCTACAATATATTTTTGCAAGTAGGTTATGCGTTCCGTTTAGTCATTTTATGTTCAGCCCCGCGGAACTTTACCGCTGATTTTTGTCGTATTGCATTTCTTAAATATCGCCGATGAGAAAAGGTCTATGTGTTTCTATATTTGTACTTAAGTATTCTTCTCCATTAAATAACTTTAGATTTTCAAAATCGAGTTACATATGATACAACTACAAATTATTTTGTAAAGAAGGTGTCCGTTTGCAAAGGATTTTTACGATGTGCACCGATAAATTTGATACAGATATAGGCAGACATGATCTTTCAACAGTATTGAAGAAGTTTTCACAATATTGAAAAGAAAATTTAGGTCAGATTATCGCATCGAATTTTCTAGAGACATGGCATCTTAACATACCTTCATACTAAAGTGTGATTTTTATTTGATAATGAATTGCCTGAAAACTTAAACAAAAGTTTTCAGAAAATGACTTCACAGAGGATTACCCCCTGTTTACATTGAAAATTTCTCTGCTAGTCATACCGAAATAAGAAATTTAAATGTTATTCTCTTTATAATTAATTCAAATATTTATAATCTTAAAACTTCACGCCAGAAGTTAATAAAAAGCTGCTTATTTGTACAGGTGACGTTAACAAATTTTGTTGAAAAAAAAAACACAAACAAATCCGACAGGTGTGTCCGACCGAGGCCGAGCTGTTTATGTTTACTGAATTCAAATCACTTGAACTGAACTGCTATGAATTCGAAAACACCAGGGACTTTTTATTCTTTCGTGTGGGAAACCTATCAAGCTAGTTTCAAAATGTCGATGGTTCTCTGCAGGTGCACTATTTTGCTTGAAATAATGCACAAAGGTGCACTTGAGGTCCTCGCCCCTAATGTGTAGAGTGAAAGTTTGAAAACAAACCACAAAAAACAGTCATTTCCCAGGACGTTAACTTAGAGCGTAGCTAGCCAAAATGAATTCAAGTTAATAGATTTCTACACTTTTTTTTGCGAAAAAAAAATTAGGGATAATATTGAACATACAGGAAAATATAAGAAATTATTTCAGATATTATGATCAATTAGGTAACATGTTCATGATTAACTAAAAAGTAGCTTCCGCAATGTAAACTTTCAAATTAAATGTTATATTGGACATGACACAATGTATTCTAAATAATCAAAAGCAAAAGAAAATTGCTACACACCTCAAAAGATCTGGGGTTTTTATCTAGCGCAAGTGATTATTCCATAAAATAGAAATATACTGCCAAAATTATCCCTTTTGAAAAGACTGCCAAAAATACAACTGCGTCGTATCATATTTTATTTTCAACTGCGTCGTATCATTTCGTAAAAATCAATATTTTCTTTGAAAATAAACATCTCTTTTAAATGAAATTTTAGTAAATGATGCAAAATTATATTTCGAAGATTATGGTGAACTCTGAAACAAATATATAATTGATTTTAAGGAAAAAACGATAGATAAAGCAATATGAACTGCGTCGTATCCACACATTTTCATAAAAATTCTGCCCCGCTTCGAGTTGCAAGTTCGCTATAACTTTTGTTTTACAAAATAGTTGTGCAAGCAGCATATACCGAACGAAGCGGAAAATAGTGTAGCGTGTTAATACATATATCTGGTTTTCAGTCATTTCCAACAAAAAGAGTTATAAACAAAAACATACGTTTTTCGTTCCAAGATGGCGGCGTTTGTTTACATTTTGTAGGATACGACGCAGTTTTGATTCCCAGCCCTGGATATATAATTATAACGTTGTTATTATTTTAATAATTTAGATATTTCCTTGTTTTCAAAGACAAGAATAAGATAATTTATTAGTTCCATAAAAATGTTAATACATAAAAGATACTATGTTATTATCAAGTTTAGCAATTTTTTCTACATCTGCAATAAAATGATCTATAATAATGATAACTTACCACCTGACTTCTGGAAGGATCACCTAGTGGTCCGGCGTACCACCTGCTAAAAAGGTTAGTGTCGAGGCCTGTATATGGGTATAATTTAATTTATTTTATGATTATTTCAGAACTCTTGTGCCAGTGACAACACCATGCTATGTTCTCAAATTCCTCGAAATTTGTAAAAAGGTCAATTACACGCACGTGGACGTTGTGGCCCAAAGCCGAAGCCACGCATTCTTGCATCAAGGTTGGTTATCATGTTTTTTTGAGTTTCGTTTTTGGGGGCGCAAGCCCCCAACGTAATTACGATAAATTCAGCTTACTTCCTTCTGAACGCATTTAGGCTATCTAGCTGCGCTGAGCAAAAATAGTTCCAATATTTTGCCATAATATTCAGATCATCATAATACCTTATCTAATTTAAAATTGACTGGTCATTTTATTACTTAATTTTAAATCCTTTTATCACAAAATTACAAATACCATTGCTTTACGCGATTTGAATATTACTACGCTAGCAGTCGATAAAAATTTAATGAGAACCAGTTTATTTGTTCTGGTTCCCGATGCATGAGAGCCAAAGTACTTGCAAAAATTTGGTGCCAATTTTATCAAGTCATAAATTAACTAACTATCATAGAACACAATAATTCAGGAAGATGGAATACGATTTTCAAATTAGATAACTTTCAACAGTTCAAGCTTAAAATGGTTAAAAAGTGTGAATGACAGAGTAAAAATTTGTATGCGTATGAATACGAACTATTTTCCTTCTGACGTCATTTTCCCGAAATCGCCATCTTAGTCAGTTATTCCGAGAAAAGGTTGAGAAGATCTACTATCAATTAGGAAGTCCCAGCTATAGGGCCCGTAAGTCTCGTTTACTTTCACTTTCGATTTACCACTTCCGGGTACATCGGCAGACTTATTTACCGTTACGCATATAGGTAACCCGAAGAACTCGAGAGATATAGAAGTTAAATTTGTTTCGGTCCTCTTCAGATTTAAAGGAATGGAAAGCACGGGTCAAAAAATGCAGGTAGGTCAATTATCTGACGGAAAAACGAGTGATTTATAGAGTTTAATAAAACTAGTTTATTTTCGGATAGTGACAATTGTTTCGGATGTTTTGTCAAGGTAGTAAATTCTAGTTGTTTAACTTTTAGTATTGTTTTAAAACTACTGATGTGAAAAATTTATTCAAACCATTTTAACTTATTGAAATAAACAATGGAGAAACACTTCAATTCTAGTGTATATTAAAGTTATACAAAATTCGGACATTGCACAGTAATTCGGATATTTCTTCCCTTCCTTTTTATCAAGATTTCAATTACTTACATTAGTATAATAAAACCCAGGTCCCAAGTAAGAGTTTTGATAATTAAATAATTAGATGGATAGATCATAGATTTATGCAAAGTTTAATAGTATTGTTCCATTTCTAACTATGGAGAATAGTATCAAGGCACTAACATTTATTTTTTTTATTCTCTTCCTTTTTCAATTATATATACATGTTAATATGGTACCTAGCAAATTATGATTGAATTAAAAACATATAATATTTTAATAAACCATTTCAGATGTGTAGACAGGGAGGTATATGACAAGTATAGAATATACAGTTGTTCACTATGGACCATTAATCAACTGTTTGCACTGCCTATGATCCTGAAATATCTATATATCAAAGGTAAATACATGTAAAATAATTGTTTAGTTTTTAGTTGAGATCGGAAAGAAGAACAATTATCAAAATATTTTAATATTTTTTGGATTTTACTGCATGATAATTGATATGTAAATAAAACATGAAAAATAGTTATGTTTCACATTCAAGAAGATCAATATTTTTGACTGTTATATATTATGTGTTGTTGTTTATCTTTAATGTTTATTTACTTCAAATATGAAATTTTCTGTCAATCATGGCTAGCTTATTAAGACTTATGTAAATATAATTTCTAGTGCAAGGCCGTCGTCGATGGTCCGGCCGGTCAGGCCTTGGCCGACCAATATTTTGGCCAAAAAATGAGTAAAATAAATTAAAAAAAAAAAAAAAAAAAAAAAAAAAAACACGCATCGCTGATTAGCAATTTGACACTTAACTGGCCCCTTATGCAATACGCGGTAACATACAAACATGACGCGAAGATACAAATGGACACTGTTAATTGACTAGGTATATGTAGGGGTCCTACGAAGTCAAGTGTGAAGTTAATTGACATCGACAGTTCACCGTATATACATGTATATATGTGCATTATGAATATCTTGAACTAGTATGCCTGAATTCTCCGAGAACTTGATAATATTTTATTGATTGTACACGGCAACCGTTCAAAAGTCATATTTTTATCACATATCCGTGCCGTTTTTGCGACTCCTTGAAAATGGTATTGCACGGCCGTGCAAATATTTTGACGTCATTTGCGTTATACACACTATATAAATGTTAGCGTTTTTCTATGGGCGTCAATGAAAAATGGTTCTTTTTCACTTCAAAAGGTACTTATTTTTGGTATGTAATAAACAGAATATTGATGAATTCGTGTAAGCTAGTTCATTACTGAATTTATTGAACTCGTTGAATAAAATATTATACTCGCCAGAGGCTCGCATAATATATTTTCATTCAACTCCTAAAATAAATTCAGTAATAAACTCATTCAATTACTCCATTACATAATTACATAGAGGATATTTGTTTGTTTTAGCGTATAGCCACGAGTGAAAATATAATAGCTGGTGTTCACGAATGAAATATATTTCAATCTTATATGTAAAACAAATAAATTTTCTTTTTATTTCATGCTTTTTAAGTGATTTTAAGTATCTAATTACTGATTTTGCCGCGTAACGTCGTGCATTCTCCTTTGTGACGTCATCACATCATGATGTCACGTCATCGATTTTGAAATATAGTTCTGTTAAAATTCTCTAATTTTGTTACATTTTATAACATGATGTATGATGACATCGACTTTCTTTTCCTAAAGAAACAAAATTTACGTATTACGGCATTTATTTCTGCCTGTTATTCCATTTAGTTATGATTTTCTTTTCATCCGCATTCAGATATAGTCCGGCTACAGTGAAAATTATATTTTATAAATTTCACTAGTGGTTTATCGGAATATAATCATCTGATAAATTACAATAAAACACTGGAAAGCATGAAATAAAGTGCAGGACGTGTTCCGGCCTAAGTATTTTGAAGCAATCGATCTTGCCATGGCCACTGTTAAAGAGAGATTTGACCAACCGAGATATCGCGGACTTCAGAACGTGGAGGATTTATTTATTAAGGCCGCACAACCTTTGAATACCGTTCACTAGAAAACTTGGTTTTGTTTGTGATTCATATGGTAACGATATTAAACGA